AACTAGCTCGAATTTATGATCCTTGTGGTTACCTAACACCTATTACGTTTTTCATTAAACATTTAATCCAACAACTTTGGGCAACCGGTCTTAAATGGGATGATCGCCCTCCTTCGGAAATAATTCGTGTATGGGAACAATATAAGAGCGAATTATCTCTTATTTCACAATTCAAAATTCCTCGTTTTTTGAATATTTCTTCATGTCCCATCTTAGAGCTTCATGGATTTGCCGATGCTAGTGAAAAGGGATATGCTTGTGTCGTTTACATTCGTAGTATTGATACTCGTAACCTAGTTCGTTATTATCATGAGAAGTATTTACATGCTGGATTTAAGAGTACTCAATTTTTGATTAGTCAAAGGTTTTGGATACTGTCTTCTAAACAAGCCATTAATTCAGTATTGTCCAAATGTATTAGATGTTGGAAACAATCTCCCAAAAACTTACAACCCCCTATGGGTAATTTGCCTAAATTTCGTCTCGGTGCCATTAAACCCTTTTCGATTTGTGGGTTAGATTATGGTGGACCGTTTTCGATAACCATGTCTCGTTACAGGGGAGTTAGAACTCAAAAGGCCTATTTGTGTTTATTTGTATGTTGCGCTACAAAGGCTTTACATCTGGAATTAGCTAGTGATTTGACCGCGGAAGCCTTTTTGGCCGCTTTACAACGTTTTGTCGCTCGGAGAGGTCGAGTATCGCAAGTATTTTGTGATAATGGCACTAATTTCCACAGTGCTTATCGACAGCTTAGTAGCTTTATGGAGAGCGCTCTCGATAAGGAAAATATTAAGTTTTCATTTGCTCCTCCTGCTGCTCCACATTTTGGCGGTATTTATGAACGCGGAATTCGTTCTGTAAAGGAACATATTGGTCGTATAGTCGGGGCACAAATTTTGACTTACGAAGAATTTTATACCGTTTTGACGTTAATTGAATCCGTCTTAAATTCACGCCCTCTCACCCCTTTAACCAATGATGTTGAAGATCTCAATGCTTTGACCCCAGGACATTTCCTGACTCTTGAACCCTTGACATCTTTGTCTGTGCCTGATTTTTCGGAGGTATCCTTCAATCGTTTGTCCAGATGGCAGTTGTTACAGCGCATCCATAGAGACTTTTGGGCTCGATGGCGAAAGGAATATTTGCACACCTTGCAACAAAAGTGTAAATGGTTAGATCCTAGTTTTGTACCTAAAATCGGCACCTTAGTTGTTTTAAAGGAGGATAATTTGGCTCCGTGTAAGTGGCCTCTCGCGCGTCTTGTTGAATTACATGAGGGTAAAGACGGTGTAGCTCGAGTGGCTACCGTGCGTACGATTACCGGAACCTTAAAACGGCCTCTTGTCCGAATCTGTCCCGTGCCGATAGATGAAGATTAAATGGTCAGCATTTTTTTTACTGATTTTGTTTTGTTCGGCTTTTATGAATAGAACCACGACAAAACCACCATTTTAATTTTAATTTTTTTATTTTTTAGTTTAAGTTTTGAATATTTGTTTAATATTTGTATAGGAATTGTTTGTAGTAATTATCGTTTTGATTGTTTAAGTAATGATAGTATTTAGAATTCGTTTTGTTTTTTAAAGACCTTATGGCCTTTAAAGGGGGGAGAATGTTTAAATTCAAATATGGTTGTATAAATTAATCAAGACATTTTGTCCTCCCCCTGTATACCTTCGATCCCTATTCGTACCGTTCGGGTATGCTATGCATCCCGTAGGACACAAGCGCTTAAGTCGTTGAGCAGGATAGACGCAAGACACAACCCTCGCGAGTGCGTCGATGCATCGAAATCGGTTGGTTTTATAGTAGTGAATTATGGTACCTAATTAGCGGTTCGGTAAGTTCACCTAGTTTAATACCTTTGTTTGTTTTTTGATTGTTTTTGCAACCATTTAAATTTTATATTATTTGTTATTTGCACCTATGAGTGAAAGTTCATTTATCTTGCCAGAGCTATCGAAGGAATAGCTGGTATTAATCTTAGTACTATTAATTCGTAATAGTACATTATTTTGTTAAACCCCCACAGATTATGTGGTTTCCGATTTTCCACCCGCTGACGTCCATTCTACAGTTATTAGTGGGGGGCTTTCTGATCATGAAACGGTATATACCAAGTTTAGCAGTTTACAAACACCTCACTCAAAAACTCGACGATTAGGTAGGATTTTTTCCACTCAAAACTTTCGTAAATTCTATAATTCATGCTTGACTTCTGACTGAAGTTTTTCTTCTGGAGACATTGACTGTAATGTTAGTGATTTTCTAAATAGACTTGTATCTATTTTTAATAAAGCATTTCCTCTATTAAACATCAGGCCAAAACATAATAAACCTTGGATTACCAAAGGCATTCGCATATCTGCGAAAAATATGCGTTCTCTGCTATATATTAAAAAATTTAATGACAGTATCCCCACCTCTGATTATATCAACAAGTACAGAAAATGCTATATAAAACTACTCAAAGTAGCCAAAAAATTCTACTTTCATAATCGCTTAACAAGCTCCAAAAATATTTCAAAAGAAACTTGGTCAATAATAAACGATTTTCGAAATAAAACCAGTACAGCGGATCAAACCTTTTCTTTTCCTAACCCCGAAAATCTAAATGATTACTTTGTTAATGTGAGTAAAAATATAACCTCAACTATTTCGCCACATCAAGATCCAGTTTCCTATCTCTCTAATTCAAAAAACATTGCTGATACCTTCTTTTTAAGACCAGTTGATAAGACGGAACTCATTTCAACAATTCGTAGTATAAAAAGCACATCGTCCTGTAGTACAGATGGATTATCTATTAAAATTTTCTCAAATCTACCGCATAATGTTTTGGACGTCATGGTCTCGCTAGTAAATGATTCCCTTGAAAAAGGTACATTCCCTAACTGCCTAAAGACTGCCATCGTTATTCCTCTAAGTGACACCGACTCTAGTTGTAAAGATATTGAGTGTGGAGTACCGCAAGGTTCAGTATTAGGTCCCATTCTTTTTTTACTTTTCATTAATGACATCACTTACTTGAAAATTAAAGGGAAAATTTTTCTATTTGCTGATGATACCAGTATTACTTGGAGCAGCTCTGATATTTCAACGCTTCATTCAATTATAACCGATGATTTACTTATAATCAAGGCTTGGTCAGACTCCAACTTACTTAGCTTTAACGTGGATAAGACTGTAGCATTATCTTTTAAAGGAGTCATGCAACACTTGCTTTTGAATGAGAGCCAAATCAATATCGTAAATTCCGTGAAATTTCTAGGTATTTTCATTGACAGTGATCTCAAATGGTCCTTGCATACTGACTCCTTAAGGAAGAAACTAGCCTCAGCTTGCTTTGCAATAAGATCTGTTTCGAAGGAACTAAATTTATCTTCTGCCAAAATGGCATATTTCTCATTGTTCGAGTCCCATCTTCGATATGGGCTTCCATTTTGGGGTTCTAGTACAGCGGCCCAATTTGATACTATTTTTAAGTTGCAAAAAAGAGCAATCCGTTATCTATTTGGTCTCAAACAAACAACTCATTGCAAGACCTACTTCAAAAATCACGGAATTTTGACGCTTCCCTCTTTATTTATTTTGGAAACGGTTTGTTTGATTCGAAAGCATCTAAACATTTTTCCCGATAGACCTGACCATGGCTACTCCATTAGAAATTCGGATTGTAACGTTTATTTGCCGATCCCGTCCACTCAGCTAGTAAAGAATTCTATTCTATATCGTGCAAAGAAACTTTATAATCACCTTCCAAGAGAAATTAAATCCGCAACATCCTTCATTAAGTTTCGTAAGATGACAAAAATCTATCTCTCAGAAAGACCATATTATTCAGTTGACGAGTTTCTTAATGTATAACAAAGAAACAAAATTAGTATTGTTTATAATTACATTTGGGTGTCTCAAGCAGTGGCTACAATTTGTCTCATTTGTTGTTGTCTGTACAAATTATGTAGGTTATACAATAATTTTACTAATTTAAAATTGTGTTATTCTGTTTTTTACTATATTGTTTTTGTTTTATACTTTTTGTATTATTTGACTGATTTATTTTTTAGCTTTGTCCATAAAATTGTTCAATAATTTTCAGTGACAATAAAGCATATTTCTATTCTATTCTATTCTATATATAATGAGTAAGTTCCAAGAGAACTAAATCTTTTGGTCACGAGGATATAGGAGAGATAATAATAATAATTAAAGGAAATCACAGTTCCATTCCTATATTTGAAGACGTTTCACTTATTGTATTTACAGCTTCATCAGTTCAATGAATGGTGAGTGAAGAATGATAACTTGTTGTAGTACAAACACACCATTCTCTTCGTAACCGTGGTCAAAATATTAAAATAGTACGTCTACGCTGGCCAAGATTTTCGACCACATTTAATAGGTCTATAGTGCAAAATAATACTTAGTAATGCATTGGTTAGTGATCAATTTAGTAGTATCTGGTATATTACATGTATATTATAATACAATGGTATATTACATCACTTTCATTTAACAAACAACCACACACATATCTCTTCTTCATTGGATCAAATCTATCTCCTCAAGAACTTCCCGTTTACTGTCAAACAACTGCAATAACAGAATTGAGTTCTCCATTCAACAATACATAGTAGTTTCAACCATGTTATACCATCCATCAATTAATAGAGTACCGGCATCATTTGTTTAACTTTGTATCGAGACCTGAGGATGCTTTGTCAAATTGATTGTGAGTCTTATTTATTATTTCTTCACCTAGTTATAATTCTACTTTAACCTACCACTTACTGAATTATATGTTCTCAATAGAAGCATAAAAAGGTTCTCATAAAATAAGCTAAAACTTAGAAGTTAACAGGTATTGACAAGCCAATTGTCTATATTTAGAGAGGATTACTACAAATGTTCTAAATTATTTTATTAACGATCTATCATATTTTAGAATCGGTGAATAAACTAAACAAACTAAAATCTTTTTTATGATGTTTTAGAAAGCAAACCTGAAAAACTAGAAACATTCACTGAAGACAATTTCGCCTCTTTTCCAAAACCAGCCGGTGAAGCCGGCGGTATAGACGAAGTTGATAGGCGACAACCACCTCAACAGGTACCAAACAACAACAATCTCAAACCAGGTCAACGATTTTTTATTCTTAACGGACAGCCACTGTATCAAAACTATCCTCTGAACTATCCAGAAATTCCAAACTTTGGATTCCAGCAGATCGAACAGCCCTTCCAGCAACTTCAAAGTGAACCGAGGGAGCAAGAATTCAATAATTATAATATTCCTGTGCAAACGGTTTTATTGAGAAATTCCGGCCCTGTTGATCAACCACAAAACATAGGTAAATTTTTTTTTATTTTTTTAAACTGATTAAAATCAATACGGTTTTCATATGAGACTCGGGTTTCGAGAGGCACTATTTGATCTGCAAGTATGTACGTCTTTCAAAAGTTTGTGGCCAACGTCTAACTACTAACAGTATTTAAAATCCAAACTTTGTTTAGGAGATATTTTTGCAATGTCCACATCTTTGTTGTGTATAATGCATCCAACAGATAAGTAAAATTGTAACAAATTCTCCTTCGTGTGTTTTTCTTCTAAGCATCAGGTATCCAATATTAACGTTCACTGCTCTCTTTCAATGATTTTTTTCTAATTAAATTTTTTTCATCAAAATAGTTAACACTAAAACACAATAATTTATATCAATTTATTATACCACTTATTTGATACAACATTTTATTTTCGACTAACTGTTTTCCACAAAAAGGTTTCTATTTATATAAAATGCCGTTATTCGAGAGTACCGGCGATTCCCTTTGACTAGATCAGAAAGTCAATCGGACGGGTTTTCATTCGACCTGCTTCTGGAACCTTCGAATCGTACGGGACCGATCGTTTCAGGTAGGTATTATCTGGAATTTCTGGCAGCTGGTAAAGTCTAGAACATATCATAATTAAAAAGAATATTTATGAGACATATTTATCGTAACAATAGATAGATACAATATCAAAATTACGGCTATTGAAATGATTCAACAATATGCGCACAATGCTTTCCACGATTGACTGGCAAGATAGACTAATGTTAAATCTGAAAGGAGTACCTATCTGAAAGCGAGCATTACATATGTACTTATTCGTTTCTGATCTCCCAACGGCTAGATATTTGGAGCAATGCGGGATGAAGTATGATCGGAAGGCTGCATGACAGATGTGTCTAATCCTTTAAACAACATACTTGATTATTTAAGAGTACGAAATTTACTGTCAACGTAGATTAATGCGATGATTATTACTACGATCTGTTGCTAATGGATTAAATCGGAAACCAAACTGCTCTCTCTACACACACACTGTAGGTTTCTCGTTAAATATGTACTTTTAATACGTTTGGACTGTACTAGATTCTACCTAACACACGTCATTCTGTCATTTTACAGTAAGTACATGGACATCTACCTGCAAGGGAGAGACAGTTAGTTGTTAAATATCGTTAGATTCATATTGAAGAAATAAAAGACAAAATCCAATCTGCAAACCGCTGTCTATTCGCACTGGATAAGCTCATAAAATCAAAAAATATCACAAGAAGTTCAAAGATCAAAATCTAATAATCCATCGTCAGACCTGTAGTAACATACAAAAGCTCAGACGCTTTGAACGAAAAATACTTCGGACCTCACCATGACATCACCACAAACCAGTATAAGATCAAAACCATTATAGAATTAAAAGCACTCTACAACGACGCCGATATTGTCCAAGAAATTAAATGACAGCGACTAAGATGGGCAGGCCACGTGCACAGACTGCATAACGAAAGACTTGTAAAACTCGTATGGGAGGAGATTCCCAAAGACAAAAGATCACTCGGACGTCTCAGAATGCGATGGAGAGATAGCATCCAAGCAGATCTCCGAAAAATGAACATTTCATTTGACCCTAGGTCAAATGGAATATAATTCGGACGATCGAACAAATCGGAAAAAAGTTGTACAGTCAGCCAAGACCCACCCAGGTTGTAGCGCTACGTGATGATGATGATGATGTTAGATTCATTCAAATTTATATATTATGCTTAGACTTCATTATAATAATTATACTGCGCTATAAACTTAACGCATAATTTTAAAATTCTTATTTTGAGTTGTAATGAAAAAAAATTTGTTTTTTATTTTCTGCTTTATGGTTGTTTTGGAACATCTTAAATAAAAAACTTTTCGTTTTTACAAAAAACGTATTGAAATTTCCAATAAAACATCATAAATCTAAACAAACAAGTGATCTAAACAAACTAATTATAAATTAATAACAAAATTGAAATTTATAAAGTTGAAGAAAATACTAGTACCGTGTACTAGTATCGAGTATTGCCTCCTCTAGTATTTATTACTGCTTGACAATGATCTCTCATACTGAGAATAATCGTTCTGATTTCTTTTTGATCAATTTGATCCCAAATTTCAACCAACCACAAAAAACAGTTCATCTAATGTGTTTGGTGCATTAGGTAGTTGTCGTAGTCATCTGTCTATGATGTCCCAACATGTTCTATTGGGTTGAGGTCAGGACTTCTCGCAGTCCAATCCGTGGTAGAAATTCCAACCTTCTGACGATACTGCTGCACAATTCTTGCCGTGTGTGGCCTAGGATTATCTTGCATAAGCATGAAATTATCCAATAAATTGTGCAAATGGCACGAAATGCTCTTCTAAAATGTCAGTTATATACCTCTGCGATGTAAGCCGACCGCGATCTATTCTAACTAATTCCATACGAGCCTCTAAATTAATCCCACTCCACGCCATTACCGAGTCGCCGCCATACTGTACAGTCCCTATGGTATTACACTGTACGTAGCGTTCTGCAGGCCTTCTATACACTCGGTTTCTCCTATTATCAGAAAAAAGATAGTACCTGGAATCATCGGTGAACAATATTTTTCTCCAATCGTCATTATTAATCGTATTTTGGCTGATTCTCAAGTTATAACGATCCAAAAATTTATTTTGTAGAGAAGTACTGATAACAAACCTTTGTCTCGATGTACGAAGTGTCAAAAACCGGTCTTGATTAGGAGTTGTAACCCATCTACAGCGTTGACCGGGTCTTTTCGAGTTACTTCCAGTAACAGAAAAACGTGTTAACACTCCTGAAATGGTTGACTGGGTGACGTTAAAACGTTCAGCGAGTACTACTAGAGTGTATCCTGCTCCGCAAAGAGTATTGATTCTAAAACAGTCATTTTCGGATAGATTTCTATTTTTTGCTGCTGGTGGTTCATTTCAAAGAAAAAACACTTAATAAACTTGAAAAATCCCTTTAGCATTTAGCACAACGTAATCCAACCCGAGACTAAATTCGAAATAAAATGAAGCACAATTAGCATGTTTTTAATTTTTCTTGCAAAAAATGGTAAAAACATCAGCGTTTTTTACCGTTCTTTCGATAAATTTTACAATATACTTACTGCGGGTAACAATAATACATTAGCACAAAAATCGGAACAATAAAATTATTTGATTTACGAGGGTTTTTAAGATTTTGAGTTAATTTTGGGGTGCAGTGTATTTCAGTAACAATATACTAATATACACTAACTATACTAATATATATAATTAGTAAATTAATTTAAATTTTCAGCTCAAAATGCTCAATCTGCACCGCAACAACTTTTCCCCGCATTCAACCAACAAAATATTCCTCAAGAATCATATTTTAGAACAAGTTTACCGACTGGTGTATCAGATATTAATAGCGGAATCCCTATTGGACAATTTAGGTTTTCTTCTCCAAATGGACCTTACTTCCCATCACAAGATGAGATTGACAACGATTCTGTAGTAATAAATGCTAACTTTGGTGATTCCAGCTTAAGCGATGCAGTAGCTACCCAATCAGGTAGGTTAATTTGTCGATATTATATACAAAATATTATACGTCATTTAATAAATTTTCAATTCATTTTAATTATTTTAAATTTTTAAAATAACTTATTTTAAACCTAATTCACTTTAAAATAACATATGCGAAGTTTGGTTTTATTCATCAACATAATTTTCTTCAACGATGACGTCTTGATTATATTGTTTTTCAGTGATTATAAGTCTTTTATAGTATCCGCAATTCGGATAGTGTCTTCAGCAACTCTGATAGGTTGATAGGTTTTTAGACAGTACTGGTGAGGGTACGTAAACCTACCTCTATATCCTCAGAAATTTTGTGTCCACTCTGACAACGACAGTCTGATTAAAATATAGAACAGTTATTCTTTTGTTATCTTTGTCATCTATATTCTTATCCTTAAGAAGTTATATAAGGTAATTATAGCGGACTTTATCAAATGAGTCGATCAAACAAAGACAAAGTTTTCAATTGACATCCTTGATACATATTTGAGTACATTAAATTCTAATATTATCTGTTGTGTCTTCATTTTCTTCTTCACGTGTCATATCAGAATTATCTGACTTTGGCGATCACCATTGCGAAGGCTTCTCGATATTATGCCACATATAGTTTTTTTAACCAAGGAACCAGTTTTCTTCCTACACCTATACGGCCTTATGTTTTGCCTTTAAGGATTAGTTATAGCCTCACTGTATGTCTCAGTGACCTTACGAAAGTAAACGACCAAGAGGAAGACCACAGATAAGATGGGTTGATGACATTAAAAGAATAGCCAGAACAAATTGGAAATATGTTGCTCAGGGTAGAGACCGATGGAAGGAGTTGGGAGAGGCCTATGTCCAAACATAGACGACAGAAGGCTAAGAAGAAGAAGAAGAAGTATGTCTCAGATAAGTCATTTTCCGGTGTTGAACAGTCTTTAGCAATTTTCTATCTTTGTTGACTCTTCTTAGTACTTCCTCATTAGTTTTCTTGCTGGCCAAGATATCTTCAGCATCCATCTATAAATCCACATTTCCAATGCTTCAATTCTGTTCATGATTGATACTTTTAGTGTTGACCTTTCTGCTTCTTACAAAAGTATAGACCAAATATACCACTTAATTATTCTTTGTCTTAGTTTTAAACTTAAATGATTATTGCAAAGAAATGTCTTCATTTTCACAAAAGTAGTTTTATACAAATATGTTTGTCATCTCCTCATTTCAAATGAGGAGATAAAACGAAGAATGGCAGTTACTAAGACATACTAAGCTACATCGAAGAAAAACGTTTAATTTGGTATGGACATGTGAGAAAAACAGATCATACAAGGTGGATAGCAAAGATTTCGGATTGGAGCCCAATAGGAAGGAGGAAAAGAGGTAGACCCTGAAGATCATGGACGGATGAAGTGAACGAGGCCATGGAAAGACGACACCTTAGAGATGGAGAATGGCAGAACAGAAAGGACTGGAGACGTTGGATGAAAGAAGGAAGGCGGCGACAGCTGTAAAAATCCTTATATAGATAGATAGATCTTTGTTATCTAAGTATTCCTGTCGAATAACTACTTAATATGTTTACTTAAAAAATTCTCTAATCAGCGCATCATCTCTCCAGCTGAGTGCTGGTGTGAGGTCATTAAATTTTACAACTTTTTTGTCTGAAAATGTAGGACTTTATGAGAAGATGTAAACCAGAGATAAAATCACCAGAACAAAGAGAATAAGAACAGAGGAAATATGGAACAGATTGGAAATAGAATACTCAGTTACAAAAAAAATAAAAAAACACAGCCTTGGAGTGGTACGGGCATATATAAAGAATGCCTGAACACAGATAACCTCAAATAATATTGGACTGGGATCCGCCCAGAAGAAAACAGAGAAGAAAACCTCCGACAAGATGGAAAACATACACAAGAAATGCTATGATGGATATAGATAGAGACCTCAGAGAAGGTGATTGGAAAAATAGAGTGCTGTGTTAGAAAAAGCCGAAAAAGAAGAAGAAGAATTATAATAATTTTTTTATCCATTTTCATTTTTGTATTTTGTTAAGTTATTTAATCTTATACAAATATAAATCTTTATACTTATCTTTTTTTAGATCCAACTGTACCGGCAGCAAAATCTCCCGAACCAGGTACCGCCCAAGCAGCACCCGGAGCTATCGCCTTAGCCGGTCCTGGAGGCATAGCAGGAGCCGCTCCAAGAGGCACTGCATTGGCAGGAAAAGGTGGCTTGGCAGTTTCAAGTCCGCAAGCAACAGCCATTGCAGGAACGAAGAAAGAAGAGAAGGCGGAAAAAGCAGATAAAGAAAAGCCAGACAAGCAAGAAAGGAAAACAACCAGAAAGCCAAAAAATTGATCAATGTAAATAGTTTAATTTAATTTTTTTACTTTCTGCTGTAGTAGTTGAGGTATCTCCGGATAGTTCAATAAGGAAATTCAACATACTTTTCATAATAGACATAAAGGTACTGTTCATGCACAATAACTTGCTAGGTATGTTAGAAGACTTAATGTATAAGTAGGTATTAAAACACTAGTTAAATTAAAGAATAATCTAGTAATTTATATTTGTATGTGTTTTTCAAAATATTTTTAAAAATTTGTATAAATTCGACAAAATTTCATAAAATATGTAAAATCAAATTACTTTAGCTTGATCTCGATGTGTAGAAAAATAGAAAATGTAAACTAGGTTTTTAAAAACTTAATTCAAGTTATTTCTGTTGTGAGCAAACTGTATTAAATATAAAATAAGCAATCCATTGTAAATATAGACGTAGGGTTTTACATTACACAAATAAAAGATTAAAAACTTTTTTTAGTTTTATTATTTTTTCATTTTTTCCTACTTTGTAATGCATAGTTCACCATCTAACTCAAATGTATAAATACGGGTGAATTTTAAGCAATCGGTATCCTCGATATTCAAAAAGCTTTCGACCAAGTCTGACATGCTAAACTGACCAGAAAACAAACTAAACAAAACAAACCACGTCCAGAAGAGGTAAATGAAGAGGTGAATGAACACCGAGACAATGCAGTAAGCAATCGGCATCTATTAATTACCAGACCTTGAACCGGTCTGCTGGGACCCCTATGCCGGGATTCCCCATCATTTACAGACTTACTGCCTCACACTTAACTCTGTAGCTGGTGTTACCATTGTAACTTCGAATCTTTGAAGTTTTATTCATCAACCTCAATCCATTATAAAGGGCAAAACACACCCCAAATATATAATACCTTACATGGTAAACAAGGAAACGCCTTTGCTAACGCCATATCGGCATGAAAGAGGTTGCATATAATTATATGAAGTAACAAGCACCCAGGGGATATGTATTTACATGTGTATATACTTCATTTAATTTACATAACTATGCCCGTCATTATCTACGTCAGAGATCGAAGTTGACATATTTGCCAAAGTATAAAAAAATCCTGACTCAATTTGAAGTCAAATAGATCACATAATTATTGCAAAAGTATTACCATCTCTTTACAACGACTATTTAAATTCTTACGTGACATTTTTGAAATAAAACCACTAATTTTGTTCTAAAAAGAACAGATTTTATTAAATAGGTAAAAATATAAAACATGAGGTATTCACTTTAAAATTCAAAATAATAAAGTACAAAAAGTGTCAACACCGCATCTGTCAAATAAGTGTTACCAATTTATGCCAAAATTTCACCTTCGTTCGATTACAGTTACAGTGTATTCTGAACAAATGTTCTTCATAAAAACGTTTTATAATGCATTTATACAAATTAAATGAAACATATTATTGTGTATTTCTTTAAGTTAGCATTAATAGAAATTTTTTAATATTATTTTTACGCGTATATAATAAAATATGTCTAATAGCTGTAATGCCAGTGTACTCGGCAAAGTAATTCTAAAAAAGAACACACCTACCGCATAAATATTTTGTGTTGGTATCATGTGACGACACGGGCTATGACGCCGATGACGTGCATCGGTATGTAAATTAGATGAAGTGTACATATAGTCGACATAAAATTAAGAACAGAAACCCCCGGAGGTGACACTCTCCCAAGTCTCTGTCATCTATATGAGCATATCATGTTTACTCTATCAAATGTTTTTTGTAGTCGATAAAATAAATGTGTACATCACAATTGACATCTATGAACTTTTGAATACGAACTTACACAGCGAATAGAGCCTCTCATGTAGCTAAAGCATCGCGGAATCCAAATTGTGTCCATGGCACTTTTTCTTTCCATCTATTGGTGTCCTCTGTTGATGGTAAATTCTTTCTCTGTTTAAAGTGCCATCTCTATACAGAGTTTGGCAATCATAATGGCTACTTTTATTTTTAAACTTGCTGTTCTAAGCAAATAAAAATTTGTAATACAATGGTTTTTAAGTTTTTTAAGAAACTTTTAAAAACAACTGAAAACTGAATAGTTATTTTGAATTTTTACTTTACAAATGTCTTTCGAAAGTGTGTGAAAGTGTAACCTTTACCAAGCTTATTAAGCTGTTTTGAAATCTACGAATATATAGGTGTCAATATTAAATTCTGTGGTTTTTTCAAATATCTGTCTTAATACGAAGATCTTGTCTATTGTTGACCGACTAGGCTCAGACATTTGTAAATTATTTCAGAATATCTTAAATATTTTATCCAGTAGGGTTATTCCTCTAATTGTCAAAATTAAGCTATTCATTTTTTAAGTACAGCTGTATAGTGGGCACTCCGAACAGATATTTGATTCTTTACGAAAAGAAGTTACATCATAAGGGCTCAAACGGCTAAGTAAGGACACAGAAAGAAGTACATACTATAAACAGACAATTCGAAGTACAGAAGGTCTGACCAGAAGTAGTCGAACTGTTGAAATTCCCCGAGGACACGGTAGAAGTGAGACTAATAGAATTACTACAAAGAAATGAGGATAGACAATAATATATCGCACGACGAAGAGTAAAATATTATTTATTTGATTCTAGATTCCAAATCAACATCTGCATTACGAACGTCGTTGAGAGACTCGGCATATTAAGGATCTCTATCGGCATATGATCGGCATCTACATTGCGAGTATGCTGGGTACTTATACAAGTGTGCGTACACAAGAATATAAAGCAATTAATAATAGTAAAGAATAGAAAAAAATTGGCCGATTATTGAAGAAATACATAATAATCCTAAAATTTTAAGGGAAAAGACGTAGGAGTATGTATACTATCTCAAGACAAATAGAACATAGCAAATTGAAAGTTACAAAGAATTATAATTAACAATTTTAACATGTTATCGACAGAAGGGTATGCAGGCAAAAATATAAATGTACAAAGTCATAAGGAAATATTATTTTTGAAACAGCTTGCAGAAAAATGTTGAGGAATATCTCAGGAGATGTGACGATTGTAAAGGTACAAGCACTCAATCACTCTCTAATTATCACATCGACCGCCACTAGCGCATGTGACACAATATTCATTTTAGATTATATTTATTTAAGATGGACGACGATAGGAATAAATCTAAACGAACTGTGTCTATTTGAGTTTAAGAATCACATAGCCGAAAGGCTAATGAAACAAGGAAAGACACTGACAGTTACCAAGAAATTAGGACGTCCCAGCAGTAGCTCTATTGATGATCTTCATGAAGTAAAACAACACAAAAGTGCAGCTACAAAAATGATTCCTCAAAACGATATTCGGCAGGATTAAATAGGACTTAACCCGTTGTGAAAGATAAAAGAGGACGATGTCGTAAAGCTGGTTGTAAAGCAGTTCCTGTGCATTATTGTGAGAAGTCCAACGTGTACTTATGTATTTAAAAATTCGAATTGTTTTTACGATTTTTATCATAATTAAAATTTGTCATGCTATTCAAAAATTATGTTTCTGCACGAATAAATATCTGCATTAAAATTATTGTAATACATACTTTTAGATGCTTGATGTGACGTTTGAGTAACGTTTAAAATTTTCAAATATTTTTGCAAAAATAATATCAATGTCATACACATAATTATTACCTAATTTAAATTGTAAAAATAATGTAAATTAATTTGTATATCATATGTACCTAATATGTTTTGTATCATCACCATCATCATTCCTCAACCTCTTGCATCCATTGTTGGATATAGGTCTCCTCCATGTTCTTCCACTGTCCTCTATCTTGCGCCTTCTGTATCCAATTTCCGACTGTTTTTCTCAAGTCGTCCATCCATGTTTTTGGTGGTCTGCCTCGGTGTCTTTTGTCTTCTCTAGGTCTCCATTCTATGAGTCTTTTGGTCCACCTATTATCATTTAAACGTGCTATATGTCCAGCCCATCTCCATTTGGCTTGTGCAATTTTTTCTATGACATCTGTCACTTTAGTCCTCTCTCTCACTATCCTATTTGGTACCATATCTCTTCTAGTTATTGCCAACATTGCTCTTTCCATTTTTCTTTGGGTTACTCTCAATTTATTTGCAGAATGTTTGGTTAAAGTTATTGTTTCGGAACCATATGTTATTACTGGCAGTTTGCATTGGTTGTAAACCTTTTGCTTCAAGCAAATCGGTAGCGTTCCTTTTAGAATATCTCGCATCTTGCCAAATGCTGCCCATCCCAAGCCTATGCGACGCTGGATCTCACAAGTTTAATTGTCTTTTCCTATTCTAATTTCATGCCCTAAATAGATATAGCTAAAGACTTGATGTACTTCGTTCTCATCTACCCTCATAACATCACTTGGAACTAAATTGGTCATGTATTTTGTTTTTTCAAAGTTTATGTTCAGGCCTATTTGTTCTATTGCCTGTTTTAGTTCTTCCATCATTTTGTGAGCTTCATTTAAACCCTCGGCTATAATGACAATATCATCTGCAAAGCGCAAGTGGCTTAAGTATTCACCATTAATATTTATTCCCCTTTTAGCACAATCTAGTTTAGGCATATTCCAGAGCTGCAGTGACTAGTTGGGGGGAGATGGTGTCGCCCTGTCTAATTCCTCGCTCAATTCTATATTTATCGGTAAAGTCATGGAGTTTAACAGATTATGCTGTTGCGTTGTTGTATATATGTTTTATCAAATTTTTATATCTATAGTCTTCGGCTTTGTTCTAATGCTCCTAATACTGCCGGTAATTCTACGGTATCAAAAGCTTTTGATGTTTTGTATATGTATAATGTAATTGTTTATTGTAAATTAATTATAGTATATAACGACAACTAAAAGAAATAAGACGATAGATGCACACGCCTCTCACTTATTGGGAACAAGGAATTTTAAATGATTCTCATGTTAGTAATAATTGTTTGTGTAAATTGCTTATTAACACCTACCTCCACAAACACACACACTCACATAATCAAACCACCAGCAAAACAATACGTTTGAAACCCTGACCTAGTACTATATTTATATTTGCTGATGTCAGTCTCGTCAACAATTTTTATACCTATACTACAATTTTAATAAACGTACCTATCCTTTTAACCCCCTTAAAACTTATTCAAAAATGTTTTTCTTTTCAATTTAGCAATAAAATGGATTAAGATACAATATACTTCAAGCATTTTTTTTTCAAATATACCTAGGTGGTCGTAAATAGCTGTCTAAATATTCATACGCTAGGCTTTCACAACACCATGTTTTAATTAGAAATTATACAATAATAGAAACGAAACTAATGAGCTAATAAACGTTTACAAAGAAACCTTAAAACTTAAAATTATTAACAAATTAAATTTATCTCAAGTGGTACAATTTAAAACAGTTAATGTGAAGTCCAACATTACATTTGCTGCAAATAAAAGTTACGCATTATGACATCTTGCACAACGTCTCTGTGTTTGATTTTTGATCGGCCAATGATCAAGTCTGTCATATCGAACTTCGTCAAGGACATTTGGGGTTCTTTGAGGTGTAGGAGTACGAAGATTAGGTGTTAATAATACAGGATTTACTATTTGTCGAATAAAATCTATTTCTTTGATTTTTGGCTCGATATTTCTAAATCATATCCCGGAATTCACTATCGATGCATTGAGGCAAAATCGGAATATTGGCCAATACCATTTTCGACTTCTAATGTTTATACGATGACGACCACGCCACTGATCAAACAAATCCACACCTCCCATGCCAATATTGTATTCCTGAATCAAAGATGGCTGCAGAACAGCTACCCGTTGTTTATGAATATGACTGTAACATTTACAAGTTGTTGTTTTGGTGACAAGATCATCGCTTCTATTGGTAGCCAACGTTACTTGGCTATTATTATGCCAATGTATCAAAGATATATTTTTTGACACATATCTAAGACCATAAGTAGATCCACGGGGCTCTTTTTTTAAATCTTTTAACGGTGCATGTTCCAGAAGATCACAGTGAATTGTTCCAGTCACAGTTATATTGTGCTCTTTTATTTCTTCAAGTAATAGCAAGGAATTGAAATAATTATCTAGGAAAATTTCACTTCCTTCAGGAACACATCATAAAGCCATCCTTTTTGTAACAGAACTGCCTAAAGGCATATTAGTATCTCTTTGGCTTTTCCCCTTATATAGTTCAAACTTAACGCAGTATCCATTAGGAGTATTTAAACACCTCATCGCCTCATCCAAAGACCATACAGTAGGTAACGGGTTTGCATACAATTGAAACTTTGATGACATATGCTTCAAAAGGGGTCTTATTTTTCTGCATTTATCTTGTGGATCAGTTTCATTGTTATCACTAAAATGAAGGTATTTAAAAATAACCAGAAACATATCACGAGACATAGCATTTGACACAGCCGGGTTGTAGGTGTCAGCCGATCTCTACCAATACATTCTTCGATTTGGAAGTTTTACATATCCAGAAAGCAACAAAATGGCCAAAAATGTATGGAACTCTTCAGGAGCGATTGTAAAAGATTCATTTCCATTTTTGTACTTCGCATATTTTTGGGACTTCGCAAATTAGTTGAACAAATTCCAATGGCCAGAAAAGCTTAAAAAAATCAATTGGGCTACCTCCTGACTCGATCATATCATTTATGATTTAAGGTCGATTTTGAATTTTATTTTTTGTTTTTAAATAAGTATCTTCTAGCAACTCTTCTACAAAATGCAAAGGTTTCCACGAACGTCTTGTTTTTTCGACTTTCAATTTTTTAGGCTTAGGTATGTTCTTTGCTGATCCTGTTCTCATTTTCGATGTTGAGGGTTCCAAATTCAATTCCATCCTTTCACAGTCGTGTGTAGTTATTTCCACCTGAGATCACTCTGCTAGTAGACCAGGGCCCAATAAATTCACGCTATTAGTATTCACCAAATTTTCTTCCTCTGGTACTTCATCGATATCCGTGTCTCCGTCGTTTTCAGGGGGAAACAATGTAATGTCTATTAATTGTGCACCGGCAAGTTCATCGTCACTATCGGACTCTTCCAGACACGCTATTAGCTCTTCGATAGTAAGTGGTCTCCTAAAAAAAAATAAATATAAAATTACAATGCCTAACTAAACTAATGGTCATAAAATCCTAACGTATGAATTTTCATACGCTTAATTTTTGAATACCCTCGGTAACACAAAGTGATTCTGTATACCACTAAATATAAACAGTAGTGTAATATAACCTTTAAATAAATGAATAAACAAAGAATCTGACTAAAAACATAACAACTTATCAATATTTTTGTATAAAGACTTACCTCTACTCTCTCCCACTTTTGACGGAATTTAGTTGTCACGTCATTTTGATTTGAATAAGAAGCCATATTTTTAACTAAATACACCAAATAACCGGTAAAATGTAAACACCACACGTTGTTTAATTGATATTTGACACAATAAACAGAAACCAGCGCCGTCTTTTCGCTGCAAGGTTAAACAAAAATTGGTATGTTTTGCGTATGAATATTTAGACGGTAGGTTTTGAGGGGTTAAATTGTTTATCTTTGAAGAAACGATAAAAAGGTATTTCTACCATCACACACAATATCGGGGCAGATCCTTATGAACAATATGACCAATTTAATAAAGCATCTGTCATATTTAAAAATAAAACAAATCTTTTGTTTTATATAAAAATTTATTTTAACATATCCGTAATAAAGCAAATTGGTTATTAGGATCAAATTCAACTTCTCCATCGGAATCGAATTCAATTTTTTCAGCTTCTTCATACACCTCCTTCGCTGTTTTCTTTTTCCTCCTCTTCTTAACAACCTGCTGAGGTGCCTCAATTTGTATATAATTCTTTATTGCAGTAACTATAAAATTCAAACTATACAAAACACTTGCAGAATCTTTTAACAAAAGTTTCATATACTCATCTAAGTTCGTCCTTTTGGTAAGGTTTTTAGTAATATTATATACAAATGTACAACTTAAGGTTTTAGAAATACAAAAATTGGAAAAAGGACAATCAAATAGCACGTTCAGATATTCTACATGCATGGCACAACTTTGAAATTCTGATATTGAATGCACCAAATTCCTATCAAAAGATTTATAATTCGTGGTCATTTTGTGATCCATTTCGAAATATGAAATCAAAGCTTTTAAGCAGAGTATAGAATCTGATTTTGAAATCGTATCTAGAGCACCTTTCACGTCTTGAGCGACTATTTCATTATGTTTAATATCACTTACAAAATTTCCAAACTTTTTAAAAAACACTTTACTTGATCTGCAAAACGTTTCCAATTTTATATCAACACAGGTCAATATTAATTTTGACAATATTATTCCATAAACCATAGGCCACTCAAAAGAAGTTGTTGACTTTTTAAAATAGTAGTAAAGAGATAACAAAAGAATGTGCCATGAATCTGGAAATATCTTTAAACAATCTTCATAAGAATTATCTATACCTAAAATATTAAAAATATATTTCCTCGATTCAGATTTACTTAAAGCTTCAATTTCATTATAACTTGGAAGACTAATGTTACAAATTGGTACTTTTTCTTTTCCCACACCCTCAGCTCCTTTCCTTCCTATACATAATAAATTTTCGTTATTACTAGACAAAACTGTGTGAATTGCACTTATTATATCAAAACATATCTTGTGTGAATGTTCCAAAGCATTATTTTCTACTTGGGGAATACAGTAATATTTATTTTGAATTAAAATATCCATAAAACAAGGTGGATATATACATAGTCTAAACTTTTCTAAAAATCTTGAAGATACATCAATTTCTGGGCTCTCTTCAACAAAAAGAACATCTTCCTCAGGTGACGACGACTCTCCTCCGGAATCTTCTACCTCAGAATGTGACTCAGATTCCTCAGGTTCTTCTACACTATTATTAATGGTTTCTAAATCTATGTCAACATCTGTCTTATCAGCTAACTTTGGCTCAATTCCTAGATATTTCAGATATTTACTATCAAAACAATTATATCCTTTTATAGCTTGTTTAATTTTATACATTATAATATTTCTTCTTCCTTTTTTATACCTGCTCAGCACTTTCTTTAGAGCACTTTCAACAGTTTCATTTTGTAGCCAGACAAGCAAAGATTTGATTCGTTTTTGCTGATCACTTTGGGTTCCACGGCATTTTTGAATTTTTAAATTTTGATAGAACATTGTGAAGACTCCCCTTTTAACATAATCATTACCTGAAACATATAAAAGCAGTTTAGTACATAGATTGCTAGGTTGCTAGATAAGATGGTATAAGCAGTTAACAGTTTATAGCTTTGAGATGTGAGTATATTGGACATTATTTAACCTAAGTACAAAAATGCATGATTTTTTGTATTTGTCTCATTTATTTTTCAACACAGTCTCCTTTTTGTTCAGTATGTATGATAGACAATTGGGCAATTTTTTTATATAAATATCAGTGGCTTCTTTACAAATACTATCACAGTTCACATGTCCTAATCGTCTGTTCATTCTATTTATCCATGTCACATGTTCTAAGTTTCCTTTTCCTTTGTTTTTTCCTCTACCTTGGTCTTTATTTCTATATTCAAGGTGGTAATGTCCATCTTTCTCGTATGTCTGTACAATATAAGTTGTTTTTTTTATTTTTCCAATAAGGATTTTTGTACATGTATTGTATATTAGCCTTATTAATGTACATGCCCCAACAGAGGACAAGGAAGACAAAGAAAAAGACAATTTCTATGATGAATTAGAAAGAACATATGACAATTGTCCCAGAAATGATATTAAAATAGTAAAAGGTGATCTGAACGCAAAAATCGGAAGGGAAGAAATATACCGCACATTGGTAAATATAGTCTCCATAATAATACTAATTCGAATGGACGCCGAGCAGTCACCTTCGCAGCCTCAAAGAACATGATTGTAGGAAGCACATGTTTTCTACACAAAAAAATACATATGGGGACTTGGACCTCACCTGAAGGATTAACGAACAACCAACTTGATCATGTAATCATAGATGCTAGATACTTCTCTAGCCTTGTGGATTTCCGCACCTATCGAGGCCAATATTGATTCAGATCATTTTCTAGTTGGCACAAGAATTCGTGCTAGAATCTCAAATGTGAAGAAGGAGAGAAGTACCAAAACAAGGCGCCTTTATATTGAACTCCTCAAAAATCCGCAAACGGTAGAAAGGTTTCAAAACTGTATCGAAACTAAATACATAACTAAAGAGAATCTAACAATTAGTGAACAATGGGAAATGTGTAATAATTATATTAAAGACGCAGCAAATAACATTCTAGGGCCACAAAGACCACCACCATGCAATGAGTAGTTAGATGCTGAGTGTGAGGACACAACAAGAAGAAAGAACAATGCATATAAACTGATGCAGCAAAGAAGAACCCGAGAAAATGAACAAAAATATAAAGATCTTAAAAGAGAAAAGAGAATTACATCCATCAGAGAAAAAAGCGAACTTATGAAAATAAAATATTGGAAGAACCTGAGGCATTAAAAAATTAAAATCAAACAAGAAAATTTTATAAAAATCTAAATAATGCAAGAAAAGAATTTAAATCAAGGATTGGACTATGTAAGGATAAGGAGGGGCATATACTCGATACAAAAGAAGAAGTATTGAAAAGGTGGGTGGAGCACTATAAAGAACTACTTACTATCGAAGAGACCAGATCTTTGTGCTAAGGCAAATACTGGAAAAAACCAATGAATTCAATATCGATACATACCATCTTTTCATAGATTTTAAATCGGCCTATGATAGTGTCCATGTTTGGAGTCCATGTTCTGACACAACGATGCCTGGATATGAATCAGGACATATATGCTTGCTTTATAGATTTCAAGAAAGCTTTTGATAGAGTTCAACATGAGAAGCTTTTAAGTATTCTTAAGACTAAAAACATTGATAGTAGAGATCTACAAATTATATCGAATCTGTATCAAAACCAGAAAGCAAGAGTAAGAGTCGAAGGAGAACTGACAGAGGAAGTAAGTACACTTAGAGGAGTACGACAAGGGTGTATCCTTTCACCACTCTTATTCAACGTCTACAGTGAAGTGATTTTTCAAGAGGCTTTATTGGATATCGTGGAAGGTATTTATGTCAACGGAAATAGCATTAATAATATTAGATATGCCGACGATACTGTCATATTTGCAAGTGACATGGAAGATCTACAGTACATATTACAACATGTATACAATGCATGTGAAAGTTACGGACTGCAAATGAATCTCAAGAAAACGAAATCAATGATATTCTCAAAAAAACCACAAAATGTAAATAACCTGATCATCAATAATACAACGATAGAAAGAGTAAAAACATATAAATATTTAGGAACGTGGCTAACCGAAGATGGAGATCAAGTAAAGGAGATCAGATCTAGAATAGAAATGGCAAGAAACACGTTCATAAAATTGAAGAAATTACTTTGCAACCGTAACCTTAATCTAGAGATTCGCACAAGAATGCTACGTTGTTACGTCTTCTCTACTTTACTATATGGCATGGAAGCGTGGACAATAAAGCAGTCTGAAATCAAAAAATTAAACTCCTTTGAGATGTGGTGCTACAGGAGAATGCATAAAATATCGTGGATTGAAAAAGTAACTAATATAGAGGTGTTACAAAGAATGAAGAAAGAATGTGAAGTCATAAAAACTGTTAAAATTAGAAAGATTCAATATCTGGGACATTTAATGAGTGGTGAGAAGTACGTATTACTGAGGTTGATTATGCAAGGGAAGATACAAGGGAAGAGAAACCCAGGACGACGCAAAATGTCCTGGCTAAGAAATTTGAGAGAGTGGTTCGGCTGCAGCTCATTAGAATTATTCAGAAATGCGGCCAACAAAGTTAAAATAGCGATGATGATTTCCAACCTCCGCTAGGAGAAGGAACCCGAAGAAGATGATAGTGTCCTAAGAAATAAATTGTATGAAGCCATGGATGAATTCCACATCCCTGATAAACTGATAAGATTGGTTAAGGCTACAATGTGGAAAGTTGTTTGCAAAGTCTAAATACAGGGTGAACAATCACAGGCACTTGAAATGCATGTTAGGCTGCCACAGGGAGATGCGCTGGTGTTTGGAGAAGGAGGTACAACTACGAGATATATCACAGATATAAACATATATTTGGTGGTAAAGACATAGTATCTCTTAAAAAATAGAAAGACTAAGATGGGCAGAACAACTGGCAAGATCACAGCAGAACAACCCTCCTAGAAGAATCCTTATGTCACAACCTGTGGGAAGTAGAAGTAGGGGTAGGCCAAAACTCAGAGGGATGGTGTAGATGAGGATGGTAGAAAAATAGACGCAGCAAACTGGCAACAGTTGGCAATGGATAGAACTGACTAGAATAATAGACTTGGGAAGGTTGAGGCTCTTTTATAGGGGTGTAGCACCAGTGATGATGATGACACGTATCATATATCCTTTATATATTCATTTGCTACTTTATCCATGATTGTCTATTCTATACTAAGGTTCTAAAAAATGTGTTTCTTTGTTTTGATAAATGAGGGTGTGTACTACAGGGTTTAGGTAACTTATCTATTGTAACTGCCCTTCACAAGCTGTCATTTGTCACATGTCACCCCAATATTTCCGCCTCCGCCAGGCTGGGAGCCATTCTGTCTCCGGCTTCTATAATATAAAAATGTAGCTTCTCCAATTTAAATTTTAAAGTGTTTGTTTGTCTTTAGTGTATTTGTTATGTCCCAGTTTACATGTATGACATTCCATTATTGCTGGATAGGCCACAATTGACGAAGTAAGTCTATAAACGTTAATCACATAAAAAACTTTTTCAACTATAAACTTGGAGTTTTTATCCAAGTGAATTAAAATTTCTTTTTTAAAAAAACGTTTCTTGGCTTATTTCAGATGCCCCTGAGGATGATCTTGTGATCGAAAGTACTTGGGCAAGATTTAATTAAATACTGTGTTCGATATTTGCCTTGTGTACCATCAAAGTTCATTTATTCGAACATTCAACCTTATATTGATTGAACTATTTAATTATTTCCTCAGCCTATGTTACTTCGGATACCTAATATATTTTGTCTCTTTACCTTTATCTGTCAATAAATATGTGAACCTATATTTGCCTAAGTATTTCCATAACCGATTTGCTGACCTGTTTCCAAGGGCTTTAATTTGCTATATGTGGCATGGTCTTTTTCTTTGTTCTTCTGTGTCCTAGGTTTGTTGCTTGAATCGATTTTCAGGATATATCCATCAAATCTACTTATCAACAATGTAATACCAAAGTGAACTCATGTGGCTAGCTTATTTTTTTATTTATAGCACAAAATCATAATATAATAATTATAAAATATTTAAAGAAAATTAGCAACAGCGCGATCTTAGCCAAATTGATATTACAATTTTAAATAAAATTTGGGTTAAAATAATTTTGTAGGGTACAAACAACATGCTAATATAATAAATGTTTAAAGTAATTTTCTTTTTAAAATTATTATCCATTAGTGTTGTCATTCTTACAAGTAAATGATTAAGTATATATTTTAATTGCAGAAGACCAGTTGTCTTATAGCTTGCTAGTAGCTAATAGATTTATAGTTTGCTTACAAACATTATATTCATGTCTGTTACATTCTTTAATAACTGTATGTTGTTTTTTGTAAATTAATAAATAAATTTTATAAGTGTAATGGTCATGATACCACTATCTTTAAAATACACTTGCGTGCATAGAAATCGGCCCACTGTAAACTTTTGACTTTAACTATATTTTTTTTAAGAAATATTCATTAGATGACAAAAACAAATATACTGTTTGAAAGACAATTTAATATGCTTTAATGTGAGTATAAATTTATCAAGAAGGCTTATCGTTTACATGCGTAGTAACCGGTAAACAAATGAAACGTGTTTATGTGGTGATTGTCACGAAAATAACAAATTTGTCTAATTGTAAAAGTATTACCTTTGCAAGTGAAATTTGCATATTATTCGTTTTTCATAATCTCAGCAGTGGTCAAGTGTGTTAGTTTAATGCATACTACGCCACAAAAAGCCGCCCAAGTAATTGCTCTAATCGAAAATGGACTTAGTCAGCGAGCTGTTGCTAGACAATTGGATATGACACGCGCAGCGGTTCGAAGAGTATACCAACGTTATGAGGAAAATGGAGCCTTTCATAGGCGACCTGGAACAGGCAGACGGCGATTTACAACCGCTCGTGATGACCGTTTTATTGTGTCAACAACATTAAGAAATCGTCACCTTAATGCCGTTAAGGTGCAACGACAGCTCTGTGAGGTGCGAAGAGTGGCTGTTAGTCAGTGGACAGTGAGACGAAGACTGCGGGAAAATAACCTGACCCCTAAAACACCTGCGATTGGTCCAAAACTTACTCCAGCTCATCGGCAAGCAAGCCTGCGTTTTGCACAGGATCATCGGAATTGGACGTTGGAACAATGGGGATCTGTTCTGTTCTCAGATGAGACCAAAATATGCCTCTATGGTAGCGACCGAAGAAGAAAAGTGTACCGGAGACCAGGAAAGAGATTTTCAGAATGCTGCTTTGAAGAGCGGAGTGCTTATGGGGGTGGTTCCTGCATGATCTGGGGTGCAATTTCTATAGAAGTACGAACCAATCTTGAGTTCATTCGTAAGGACGACCTTGTTCACAAAAGAAGAGGTTTAACGGCTGCCAGATATATCGAGGAGATTTTAGCAATTCATGTGGTACCTTACGTCGACTACATTGGAGACGAATTTATCTTTATGCATGACAATGCAAGGGCACACACCGCAAGAATCGTGCAAGATTACATTGCAGAAGTTGGTTTTCAGGTTATAGACTGGCCAGCAAACAGTACTGACCTAAATCCGATCGAACATTTATGGGATGAGCTAAAACGAAGAATTCGAGTTAGACTTCATACTCCAGACTCGATCCCAGAGCTTATTCTTGCAGCAGAAGAAGAGTGGATTAACATCCCACAAGCAACAATAGCAAACTTGATTAAATCTATACCTAATCGTATGAAAGATGTTATTAGGGCAAGAGGAGGTCATACCCATTATTAAAAAATTAAGTGGTAAGTTTTAAATTGTCAATAACCCTATTTATGTTAATAATAAAAAAGCTTAATTTGCTTAATGAATTCATTTCACTATGTTAAACATAGGAAGCCGAAATAAGTTTTCATAAATTTATACTCACATTAAAGCATATTAAATTGTCTTTTAAACAGTATATTTGTTATTGTGATCTGATGAATAATTCTTGAAAAAAATATAGTTAAAGTCAAAAGTTTACAGTGTTCCGATTTCTATGCACGTAAGCAAAGAATATAGACGCTTATAGAAGAATCTTTCACTGTTATGTTTGAAAGTTTGCAAAAGATGATCGCACGTTATGAAATAGAATGAGAGGGTGGATCGAGAAGGGAGCGGTCATGTCAACACTATTATTGCTTTTAAAATATGAAAGAGTGGGGCAACAAATGCAACAGATATTTTTATGTATAATGCCAGAGAACTACGAACACATAATGCCGCGTGGCCGTAGAATAGGATTAAATTTTTGCGTTTTATAATATTTGTTAAAGAAAATAATAATATTTTAACTTTTAATAAATGAATCATATTAGAAAAAATATTATGATTCGAATTTTTAATTTAAATAGGTACAAATCTACAAATAATATTATAGTTAATAAGAAGAACTCTCTTTTTATTAACTATAAAATTAATTCAACCAATAAAGTCATCAATCACCGGAATTAAATATTTCCAAATTTTCTAAATTTAATAATTTCTTCTTTGTTTTTAATATAAAATAACATAAAATGTAAAACACAACACTGTTTTTTTTGCAGAATAATGGAAACATGTCTAAAAAGTTTAATGAAAGTCCTGAGAAAATCAAATTTTTGGGCAGAAAAACAGTATAATAAAAATTTATGTGACGGTTTTTCGTTGTGTTGGAACAAACCTATTTTTAATTCAAAGTTATAAAATGTAAAAAATAAATGCTTTGAATATTGTAAATATCATACCTTTTTAAATTTCAAAATTCAAAATTTAACAATTTAATATATTGAAAATAAAGATTTTATTGTGAAAAAAAAAACAAAAAAAGCATGGGATTTTTTTTAATCGTAGATGCAAAGTTAAATAAATAGCTCCTCCGTTCGTACTCCTTTCCCACTTTCCCCTAATTACATCTTTTATGAGATAGTTTAAGCCGACTGCCAGATGTGTTTTAAAGTGTAAACCCTAACCAAATCGTCCATTTGATTTGTTCTTCTATAAGCGTCTATATTCTTTGACGTAAGTTTATATTATATGTGAAGTTCTCTGTTTCAAGTTAAAAAGCCTGTATTCCTCTTTTGCAAACTGGCCCCAAAACTGTATGCCATATTGCACTAGACTGCAGAAATATGTGAAATAAACTGTTAACACTACAAATAAATTTTGAATTTCAAACAAGGCTGAGTTTTCAATTCAAATAGTAGCAGATTTGTATAATAGAACGATTTAAACAATCTTTAAAATGGATGGACCTTTAGAACAAGAAAGATCATTAACAACTTTCCTTTGGTTATCTTACATTTACCTTGATATATTAGTACCCAGAAAAATTACAGAATCAAAGAAAATAAAAAGACATACTTACCTAATAACACTGCTAACACTGGAAGGCTAGTTTTCTGTAAACCATCAAAAGATTTTAAAAATTTCTCCACTCTATATACTTTACAAGCTATATATTTATAACTTGTTTTGGTATTTCTTGTTTTACTCCTCTTAACTGCCATTTCGAATGTAGAAAATGGTATGTATAAGACATCAAATATAAAGTAATCAGAATCAAAACTAAGTACTGGGCAATTCAATGTTCTAGCTATATTCGATGTTTCAGTGTCCCCTTCAAAATCACATCCAACATGCTTTATCTTCCGTTCAGCAAGAACGTCCCTAAATGTCTGTTTAACCAATAAAGGGAACACTGATATAGAAGTTTCAGTTACACAATTGAGTTGATTAGCTGACCTAATTTTTTTCTTCATTCTACCAATCACTGTATTAACTTTTCGATGTTCATATCCTCCATCCAATACAACATAAGGAGTTATATTACATTGATTGAGTAAGTCAAAAAAATCATGTATTGCTCTTCCAAATTTGTCATAGTCACCTCCGAAACAATCATAGGAAGATGTATGCCATTTGTATAGTTGACAAGCAATTGAGTTCCCATCTATAACTATATTGGTGTCATGCAATTCATAGTTTTCCAAATAGAGATGAGCCCGATTTTGTATAAATGTGGTAAGACCTCGAATGCCCATTGTTCATATTCTTATATTACAAAATAGTCAAAATGGACGTTTAAAAGTAACTTTCTATTCCCAATTTCGTAAATTAAAGATATTCTCATACCATGCTACATGTTTTTTTATATTTATTTATGGTTATGTTTTTATTTGTTATATTCTGCCTGAAGTTAGCAACTTTCTTTTCTTACACAGTGGAAGAGCTTTTAGGGTTTAAAAAGGGGTTAAACATGTCGGAAAATTTTATAATCATGCAAAAGAAAGTTTTACTGAAAAAAAATAACTAAAAATATAATATGTACAATAACCAAAAATATTAACTTCAAAAAGATAATATCGTAGCAATAAAGTTTTTACAAAGTGCCTGCCATTTCACTTTCTTTTGTTTTGGCCAAAATAACTGTTTTGGCTTCAACAGTTTCTGATTATTCTGGAGCTTGTTTCGATTCTTTAATTATAATACTCCATACTCTATGTCTTAATATTTATTTTTTAATTAAAGATTTTATAATTTCGCTTCGCCCACAGTTGTAAATACATTATTATACAATATAGTATAGTATAGAATATAATATATTAATTATATTGTAGAAAATAATAACAAAGAATATAGACGCTATAACATAGTTTATAATGACTATTTCATCTATGGCTCCGCCTATGATTGCAAAACGTCAGAATCAGCTGTATTCTTCATATTTTGAAAAGGTTATGTTTATTATGATTTTTGAAGTTCTTGAATTATTTTTAAACAGATGAAAAATAGGAAGGGCTAAAATGTCCAACAATAAAAATAGTTTACTGCGTGTAACGCAGATGAATGCTGTATATTTAGACCAAGAAATTTATAAGTCCTTATATCAGATATTTACTAATGCAACCAGAAATTTGCCAGTAAGTTATGTTTATCCATAACATATTTTATATTTATTTTATATTTCATACTTTCAGCCTGGAATACTTGCCTCATATGAATCGGAGCTTAATTTAATTCTTCGTTTTATGCTCCTTAACAATTCCATAGTTAAAAATGGATGTACTTTTGGACAACAGCTTCTATCTATAAAATATGAGGATATAGGCACCCTTCAAAGAGTACTATATTTACTTGGACATTGTTTGGATTATGTAAAAACTAAATTTGAAATTTGGAAGCCGTCTCATGACTTAAATAACACATTTTACAAAATTTACTTGGTTACAAAACTTCTAGATTTTATCAATCTATCTGTATTTTTAAGTAATGGTGTAAAACCTCTTTTAATAGAAAGAATCCTTGGGCTAAATCAAGTTTATGCAACTGATAATGCACAAAGACATTTCGAGTCTAAATATTTAGCAAGAGAATTGCTTTGGAATGGATTTATAGTAAGTAAACTAGGTTATTATAGTTTCGTTTCAATTATGTTAATTGAGTTATTTGAAAGGATTAATACATTCAAATAATCTGTGGGTGTCTTTAAGTATATTTTGTAATTCTTCATACCCCAATATCTGTATTTAGGGTCACTGTATTTATTGGTTTGTGAGTTTTGATGATTCAGTGCCTGTCACTCACATTCTAGATTAATTGTGTGAGAATAATAGTTCCTAATTTTAAACTGAAGAGGCACATAAATTTTATTAAATTCTCTAATATATCTCTTAATAAAACCTAATAATCTTAGAGCTTTGGAAACCATATCATCTATATGGAAGGCAAAAGACAGATGAGACGATATAAATTTCCAGATGCTTAATCACTGACATTCTTGATATAATACATTCTTTGATTTCATAATTGAAATTCATCTGTATCTTTTTTGGAGAAATACATGCAGTTGGACTTTGCAGCATTAAGCTCCATGCTATTTACCTCAAACCATATGAGTCAACCAAAATATTCAAGTCAGACTTGAATACTATACTGGAAACAATCACCAAAATTATTAACAAAAATAATAAATAGAAGAGGTTCCTAAGGTTCTTGAGGCACCCCAGATAAGACTTTTATTTAGTGAGATTGAAAACCTTGTGTCTTAACACCCAAGATTATGTGTCAAAATATAGCTAGTGAGCTAGCTTAAAAATGAACAAGTAATTTCTAAAAAACTCTTAATGTTCTTAACAGGCAACATAATTAGCTTTATCAAACACCTTAGAAAAATCTGTATGCATTCCTCAGATCCATTTAACACCCTTGAAAAAAAAAACACATTTGTAAGAAGATTCAACTCTTGACTTATCCTTTTGAAAACCAAATTCTTCATTGGTTTGTTTAAATAATCAAGTCATAAGTGTATTTTGTAATAATACCCTAAAAGCCGTTATATGAGGTAAGATATTTTGATAAGAATTATAGTAGGATTGAAGCCTCATTTAAAGTCCTTATACTATTTCATTTCTGTAATACTTGGTCTCTAATTTTTGTATTTATTTTTATTTTTCGCATTTTTAGGAAATAATAGTTTATGTAATCCCACTAATAAACTATCATAAACTTCGCAGGATGGTTAGAAATTTTAATCCCTTCCATGTCAAAAATGATTACTCCATTTTACCAAACAAAGGCATGACAATGCATACAAAATGTGCCCATTGTGGAGAAAACCCTATTTTACCGCACCATATGGGCTGTAATCACATTTTCTGCTATGTATGTTTAAAGGTAAGAATAAACTTGTTATATTATATCAAACTAAAACTTTTAAATACAATTTGATACTGTCGTTTTGAGTGGTCAGTTTATCTGTATATCATTATGGGGATAAGTGCAATAAAAACTGCAACATATACAGAAAAAGTGATGCCGGATTTGGACACCGCTCAAAAATTATTATGTATGGGAAAATTTATTATGTATTAATTCAAAAGTAGTTATACCCCATATACTCTATATATATATATATATATATATATATAATATATATATATATATATATATATAGTATTATTCCTACTTATTATCATTTAGCTTGAGCTGTGCAGTCATACATTTCTTGATGACCTCTTTGCATTTTCTTCTATCCCTATCCTTGAACAATCTTCATTACCACTCCATCTTTGCTGTGGTCTGTCTTTTCTTCTTTTCCACATCTAAGTATTTTTTTATATATAAAAAAATAGTGTAAATAATTATTTTAATATTTATTTAAGCCCCCACTGTTTGCTGCGATTACAGTTTCTACATGTTGAGGCATACTTTTAGGTTGTATTTTGGTACGATTCTCTAGTAAAAATTGAAAGAAATTTAATTACTATTTAAACATTTTTAGGGTAACCAGATTGCAGATACAATGTTCGAATGTCCTCGTTGTGAACATAAAAATGCAAGTACTGTTTGTATTCGGGTAACAGCTGCGTGATGGCCTATTTTTGGGTAGTCTTGGTATTAAGGTAAGTTATTTTTTATGTAGTTTATGGTTTATTAAAAAAATGAGACACGAACTATTCGTCTACAGGCTCAAGAGATGCCTCATGCTTTCGAGTTTTTTTATACAATTCCTTTGTTTTCTACAATTTCCCTAAACACTGCCTCAGAATAGAAGTTTAACAGCATAGAGTATAGGACATTTACTTGTATGCTTCTTTTTGTCATTAATTTTTTTTAATGCAGTCGTCTCAGTTTTGGTTGTTGTTTTTAGGTGTCGCTAATTATATTTTGATCTTGTGCTCCAAAACCGCTGGAATTAAGCTGGATTAAAGTCTCAATTAGCCTTTATGTGACAAACAATTTTCTGTAATCAATGAAGAATGTAATCATTAATATTTAAAAATGCTTAAAAAGCCAGCCATTTACAGCATATATCGTCGATATTTTTCTTTTTCTTCGTGTGCCTCATCCTTTAAGAACATTGGTAATCATTACGGTCCGTTTTACTCTGTCTGCAGCAGTTCTGAAGAGTTATCTTGTTGTTTTCCACTCCACTGCTTTACTTTTATATATAGATATGTATATCGTCGATATTTAAAAATAATAAAAATCACAAAGAATGTCCCTGACATCATATTTTATACCATCAAAAAAAAAATAACACCCATCATAATATGTTTAATGTTGAAATAAACTGTTATAATATAAAAACTGATTGATAATTTGATTTTGTTGTTGCAGGTGTACTTCCAATACAAAAGTTGTGAAGTTGTATAAAGTAAATTAAGTTTCAAGATTTTTAAAATAAGGTTAGTTTTTACTCCTGTCTATAAAGTATTTTATTAAAAATATTACTAATATTACTAGTTTATTTTTACCCATTCAGTCCAGTTCCTTATCTGAACGTGCAAATGGTCTTAAACCATTTAGGTAATTAGCATCAGCGCCTTTTTAGTAGAATGAAGATAAAAAAACGTATAGAGGACTAGCTAACAAAGCTGATGTTAAGCAGAAACAAAAATGAAGTTGTATGGAGTGAGTTCCACACAACATAAGAGAAATATATTTTCAGGTTAGAAGGAGACTAAGGCAAGCAGAACCAATGCCTAACTTTTCCGGATGATTTAACACTCCTGGTTAAGACAAAGATAAAATTAATAAGTGGTAAAAAATAGAAAGGGAATTATTATTTTTATTCATAATACGCCATAAGTTTCTTTTGAAGTTTCGATTTCTACTTCGGAAATCGTTCTCAAAATTATTAAGTATGAAGATAATACAAGAAAGTAGCTTCAGAACAATAATACGAAGAGAAGCAGTAAAGTCTTCTTCTTAAAGTGCCTATCCGTAATGTTGGCGATCATCACGGCTATCTTTACTTTGTTTACTGCAGCGCGGAACAGTTCAGTGGTAGTCGTGTTATACGACTTTCGTAAATTTTGAAGCCAGGAAAAGCGTCTTCTTCCCGGTCCGCTCTTACCATTTACCTTCCCTTGGAGAATCAGCTGGAGAAGGCCGTAACGTTCTTGATTTTATGTCCTAGATATTCCAACTTTTTAGTTTTGACGGTCATGAGAATTTCACATTCTTTTCCCATTCTACGCAGGACCTCCACATTAGTAACTCTGTCAACCCAGGATATGCGTAAGATGCGTAACTGTGAATATGTAGCAGTTCAAAAGCGGTAAAGTATGGACTGGAAATTAAAAAAATCGAAATACATAACTATGGGGAGGAGCAAAGATGAAAAAGAAGATTTGAAGATAAAAACAGATGATATGAGTGTATGAATGTGAGAAGGTCAATGACATCACTTATTTGGGAGTCTTTTGCCATCAAAGAAAGCAGTAAATTTTTCATAACTGTACTTAAATGAATCGATGTCGTAACTTACTTTGTAACATGCCTAAAGTTTGGTATTGTGTAATAATTTTTGAACTTAGGTACAAAATAACTACGTTAAATGATTAACTATCCAAAAAGCTTTATTTTAAGCAAACATTCATTATCCATACGGCCGTAATTTTTAAATTAACTGTACCCAAAGATAAAATTACAATTAAAATTAACAAATTAGGGATTTTGTTGATATTACAGTAACAAGTTGTTATTTTGGTAGTGGGAAATTAGTTCGGCTGTCCGAAGAAATCTGAAAAACATTGATAACGAGTTCTGTGGTTTTGCAGTAAACATGGAAATACGATTCACGTAGATTTGTTTAGCAAAGCGAACCCTCTCAGTAAACATTTTGGCCTCGTTTGATCTTCAATCATGACTGTATAACGTCACATTGTCTTATCAATTGTCTCGAAATGTTTACTGAGGAATACTACTGGTTTTTACATATAATACATAGATTATATCTGATTCTGGCATATTTAATTTTTATAGACAAAACAATTTTATAAAGTCATCGATTAATTTTTTTCAGTACATTTAAATGTGGCCGTAAGTGAATTTTTTTGAAATTTACTTGAGTAATAATTAGAGATTAGCTGAAAATAAGAAATTTTTTGAGAAAAAATTTTTTCCTGTCGAGATTCGATATGGAAAAAATTGTTACTTACTTACTTACATGTTTTATATTTCTTATAAATTCTATTCTTATAAACAAATAGTAACTCCAATCTTCATTCCCTCGAAAATTAGGATAATCCCTTTTTGTAATCATTATTTACTTGTATTTCAAACAATTGCAAATTTCTTTATCAGTTTGGAATAAATATTTTTAAATAGATAAAGAAATGCCATCTGAATGCTGTCTAAATACAATAAGTCATAAAATATTTCCAAATCAAAGAACGTTTTGTATCTATTAGTGAGAATTTACCCTTTTAAGGTACATTATTAAAAAGCCTTTTTTGTTAAAGTACCATGGTCATCAAATTATTATAAAAATTTATAATTGTTACTTTGTAACAATTATATTGTTACAAATACATTGTAACATTGCCAAACATTGTATTTTAGGGTTTTTCCGGAAATTATTCGAATTTTTCATGCCGTAAAACCATCCTTAGACTTCAAGGAACATTTTAAAAAAATAATTGTTAAGATTGGTTTATGCGTTTTTGAGTTATGCGCTTACCAACACATTTTGCGATTTAGTTTTATATTATAGATTGCTTAGACAACAGTGAGTACTTGTAATTTAGTATAAATTTTATTGAATAGCAATAAAGTTCAAATTTATTCTACGTTTAGGTAGAAAATATTTGTATGGGAAAAAGAAAAGAGCTGTTTTAGGGTTTTCCAGTAAATTATTCGAATTTTTCGTGCCGTAAATACCATCCTTAGACTTCCAGGAACATTTTAAAAAAATAATTGTAAGATTGGTCCATGCGTTGTTGAGTTATATACCTACCAACACATTTTTCGATTTATTTATTTTTTTTTTATTTAAACATACAAAACCCACATCAACCACCAAGGGTTATTAGTGGGGGGACATGCACAGTAGTACAGTTTGTTAAATTAAAGTTTATTATAAGTGTTTTTGTCTTTTAGAAACTGCAATAAATCCGAGATATTTGTCGTAAGTGCACTTCTCAGGTTTCCACTAATTCCTCGGCATGTTCTCTGAGGTTGGAACTGCGGACAGTCGACTATCAGATTCTTCACCGTGAGTTGAGTAGAGCAGTAGGTACAAATTGGAGCTGGTTCTTTATTTAGAAGGTGTTGGTGTGTTAGTATTGTGTGGCCGATTCGAAGACGATTTACGATTACTTGATCTCTTCTTTTTTCTTGTTGTGGAGTAGAGTAGAGTCTACTCGAGGCTTTATTGTTTTCAACTTAGAGTCTGTTGCATCCTAAGTTGCTTGCCATAAATTTATTATATGATTTATGGACTGTCGTTTATGGTCGGTGTGGGGATATTTAGTAATTTTTGGAACATTTTCATTTTTGATGGATTTTAATGCTAATTGATCAACTTCCTCGTTTCCTTTAATGCCAATGTGTGAAGGTATCCAGATAAATGTAACCTTTTTATTTATATGGTGTAGTGCATTAAGTTCATTTCTTATGTTTTGTACAATAGGATGGCTAGGGTAAAGTTGATTAATTCCATGAATTGCGCTCAGTGAATCTGTGATGATTAAAATATTATTTTCAGTCGTTGAAGAGGATTTTTTGATAGCTTCTAATATCGCTGTGGTTTCTCCGGTGTAAATGCTGCAATGCTGTGGAATTCTAATGGCATATTTGTAATTTTTATTTGTAAAGGCTCAGCATGGCCACTTTCAGTTTTTGATGCATCTGTGTATATTATGTGGTGATTTGGATACTTCTCTATAATTTCTTTGAATGCGTTAATGATAAGGTTAGGAGTTGTGGTATTTTTTGGGTACTGTGTTAAAGTTAAATCGGTGATAGGTAAGGGTGTAAGCCATGGAGGAAAGTCTAATTTTGTAGTTATGGATAATTTGAATTCATTACAATTGAATTCTTTTTGATTGATTCTTTCCCTAAAGGGTTTGTCTTTATATTGTTTGTTTCTATACTAATGAAGCCAGTACCTAGTGCGTGATATTTAGCGTCGCAACTATAGAATATAATGGGGTGTCATTATATTCTATATGGTGCCGTCTTTTGTCAATGGTGCCACTCTCGGTCCATCTCATTCGTAACATGTGTGTTTTCTAGGATAAGGTTGTTAACCCTATGCCTAACCCCCTTTTCGAAGGACCATTTCTTCCTTCCTCGTCGGCCCTGACCCTACTTTCTACTGGGGGTTTTAAATATTTGCCAACAATATATCCATTTGTTTTGATTTGACATCTATAACGCTTTCGGACCTAGGGTCAATTATAATGGTCACAACTCTTTTTGTTGGATGTAGGTGAGTTAATAATCTCAGAATATAATGGGTGCTTTTTATTGGAAGATATTCTTGCTGCATAATTTAAACTAAGTAGATGTCGTCTTAGATGTAGAGGGGGTTCTCTTGATATTACTTGTAAGCTGCTTACAGGACTGGTTCTGAAGACACCGACGGCTAATCTTAGATCTGTTGTTTGAATTGTGTTAAGGTTTTTTAGAAACGTTTTATTTGCTGTATCGTAGCATATTGCACCGTAGTCTAGTTTACTGCGAATAATTGATTTGTAGAGGTTAAGCAGAATACTAGAATCAGCTCCCCATATATTATTGGATAGAATTTTCAGCAAGTTTATTCTATTTTGACAAGTTAGTTGTAAAGTCGTAATGTGTGTTTTCCAGTTTAATTTGTAATCAAACGTTAGGCCCAAAAAATTCGATTCCTCTGAATAAGATATATTTTGACCGTTAAATATTAACGAAATAGGAATGGTATTCTTGCGTTTACTGAAAACTGTGTAATGTGTCTTATTAGTTGAAAAGAGGAAGCCTGTTTTGGAAGACCATTCTTCGATTTTGTATAGAAGGTTCAGGTTGGGCTTAAAATAGAACCTTTTGGAACACCGTTGTCGAGTATTCTAGTGGTAGAGGTGTATCCATTTACTCTTACTTGTATTTCCCTTTTATTCAGAAAGTTTTTTATAAACGCAAGCATATGTCCTTGAATTCCCCATTTATCAAGTTTATTTAATATGAGGTATCTCCATGTTGTGTCGAAAGCTTTATTCCTATCAAAAAAGACTGCTATAACTTTCTGATCTAGTAAGAATGCATCATGAATGGTTGACTCAAGTGCCACTAAGTTGTCGTTAGCAGATCTTCCTCGTCGAAAACCACTTTGAACTGTGGTCAGGAGATTTTCATTTTCTAGATACCATGTAAGCATGTAATTTAAAATTTTCTCGAGAAGTTTACACTTGCTACAGGTGAGGAAAATAGGACGGTAAGATGTGGGACAATCTTTTGGATTATGTTGTTTATA